ATCCTAATTCGTCACTAGCTCAACTAGTATAGAAGTAGTGACATAGCCATGTTGTGCCATACAGATCATAATTTACTAGATTGTTTGGATAGGCGGCTTGCAACACTAAGTAGAGCTACAGCAAAATTGTATTACGCCGTTTGCTGTACTAATCAAATTGCTCTAGTGTTTTATAAAAAAAATATTAGGCTATTCACCCCCTTCAGCCATTTAGGACCTTTCAACTTTGTAGAGCTAGAGCAAAACTGCATTATCGCCTTATTGTTGTCTAACAATTTGCTCTAATGATTTTGTAGAATTTTTATTTGGTTATTCACCCCCTCCGGCCATTTAGGACCTTTCACTACGCACAGCGTAACCGGGATTGGATGTGCTATTGGTTCTACGTGAAGACCCCAGACTTAACTCAAGGATATGAATGGCAATGTAGTTTTTTAGGTTCCCTCTTGCATCAAAGATTGGAGGAAATGAGGCCTTCTTCTCATGTTAAGGCCGAAGGGAGCAAGATACGAGATGCCTGTGAGAAGGCCTTGGGTACGCTGTTTGTTACAGCTAAAGGCTGGGACTTGGTTCAAGAATTTGTTGTTGTTGTTGAGATTTGGCCTTTGGGCCGTGATATTACAAAGGGAGGCAACCTTCGAGATGGTGAAGTTGCCGATCTTCGGTGAAGCAGATGGCATGTCGTTCCCCAGGTATGGCCTTAAAAGGTCCAAGGGCGAGACTGATGCCCAGATTCTTGTGCGCGTCGAGGGCTTGGCCTGCGAGATTCTCAATGATATTTTGGAGTAGTAATACACTTCCCGGGATTGCTACTGTTGGTCGTATGCCGTGACTTAACCGGATATATTCGAGGAATTTGGGGTGAAGTACGGGTAGCGGGAGGTCCTGAAAAAGCTTGTGAAGGCTGTTCAGGAGAAGGCAGTGGTGGAAAGGCTGTCACACCCAAGATTGACACTAGGAAGGCCGAGGTGAAGAAGAGGAAGGCAGCTGCTCAACGACCTTTAGAGAAGAGGGTTCAAGTTTTGAATGGGGTCGTCCACTAAGGTGGTTGCCGTTGTCGCGGATGCAGAAGCCGAAGGGCGGTCAATCCATAACCGCGCGCTTCTTGTACAGATATAAGCGCGACGGGAGCCCCCTACAGGAGCTGGCTAGGGAGGCTACGGGGAGGAGTAGATGGGGTGAGAAAGCAGCCGGGGACGACTGCAACAACAACGAACAGTGGTGGCAGCGGTGACGGAACCCTAGCTCTCTGGATACCAAATTGAATTTGGGAATTGGTTTGTGGTGTCTAATGACATAGTCAGCCCCTCTTAATTTTATTAGCCATCTTGCAAATAGATCCTCACAAACATAAATAATAGCATACATACAACACCAAGCGATGTTGATGTAGAGGGAGAAGGAAGTCACGCGGCTCGGTGTCGTCCAACACGTCACGGCAGTAGGCAACTTTGTCTTCGTGATCATCCAACGACAACTCCATCCACTTCGGCGGCAGTAGGCAACCCAAAGTGATCGAATCAGTCCAGATCGTGGGGCTACTGGACTGGCATGTGTTTCATTAAGGAGTTTTTTAGGAACTATTTCATTAAGGAGTCTTTTTTTAAGGAATATTTCATTAAGGAGTCAAGAAGTTTACAACACCCTGATTTGCGTCTCGGCAAGTAGCCGTTAGCGAATGGGAAACCCAAAAAATACACACCGGCAAAAAATACACAATGTCCCCGATGCAGGCAGCTCCTTGTTGGCAACGATACAGACCACTGACCCAGTACCAAAGGAAATCCGGCTGAGCTGAACCAGGCGTCACCAACACCGACAACACCCCCTAGATATGCCTAGACCATCAGGTATGAATGCTTACAATGCAGGGAGTAATTCAACCCCAACTCCGGCGTACAGGCACATGACGGCTCTCCCAGACAAACTCATGGTCCGACTCGATGTCTTCATTATCAATACTCAGGTGCATCCACCACAAAATGTCTACATCAAGACGGCTATGAAAGACTCCACATTAGTCCTCATGGCTGAGGCTGCGGCTCTCGCTCTGGCTGTGACTGTCACTGATCGACTGCAACTATACCACATAAACTTCTTGTCAGATAGTCAACAGCTGGTGCAATTCTTAAATAGCTCAGATCATTCTAATCCACTAGATTGGAGAATAAAGCCATTTACCCAGATCATCAGGAACTACTATACACGCAAGGAAGAAGCACAAGCATTGGAGTCAAGGTCAGCAGAAATATGAATCACACAGCAGACCTGCTTGCAAGACAGACACTTAGGGCTTGTTTAGTTCCTCCCCTAAAGTTTAGTCCCTATCACATTAGATGTTGGACACATGCATGAAGTATTAAATATAGACAAAAAAATAACTAATTGCACAGATTGCGACTAATTTGTGAGACGAATTTTTTAAGCCTAATTAGTCCATGATTTGACAATGTGCCACTACAGTAAACATGTGCTAATGATGGATTAATTATGCTTAATAAATTCGTCTCGCGGATTACTGAGGACTTGTGTAATTTATTTTATTATTATTATTCGAACACTCCGACGTGACACCCTTAGATCTTAGCCCTTGAATTAAACACCACCTTAGCGATTTAGAATCCAATCCGCTCAATTTCTCTTGTACCTGTTCAAACCCTGCACATGTGCATCAGTGCCCACTACCTTTGGCACTTCAGTATGTAACCATTATGGATGAAAACGGTACGGATATTTATTCGACCGTCCGTTCGACCGAACAAATATGAACAATTATCTGGATAGTTACTCGGATATCCGTAATTTTTTTCGGATACGGATACTAAAACGGATATCTTAGGCGGATATCAAATACGGATGTAATATCATCGATATCCGACGGATATCGGATAATCCGGTTAAGTATCGGATATATCCGGATATTTAAAAACGGATATTATCCGGATATTATTCAAACGACCTTGGATGGAGAAATGGTCAAAATAAAAATTGTAGATCTCAAAAAGTTATGAAACTTTGTTGTTTACAACTTTTTCGTTTGAAATCATTTAGTGCTTCAAAATTTAAACCGTCCAAACTTACTCAAATGGAAAACTAGTTTATAGGCGTCAAAATTTAAAAATCACAAATTTGAACCATCCAAACTATCTTAAATGGAAAGTTGATCAAAACAACAATTGTAGATCTTGATGAGCTGAACAAACTTGGTATTCAAAACTTTTCAATTTGAAGTCATTTAGAGTTCATAATACTAGAGTCAAAGTGTTGTTTTTTCATTTGACCAAATTTGACTTGGTCAAACTTGCTCAAATGAGACACTAAATGACCTCAGATAAAAAAACTCTGAATACCAAGTTTGATCATCTCAGCAAGATATACAATTGTTACATAGCTCATTTTCTCATTTGAGAAAGTTTTATCAAACACTAGTCACAAATTCTTGAATCTCATATAGACTTTCTGAAACTATGTCACACACTTGTAAAATTTGAACTACATTTTGTTCAAACTTTCTCAAATGAAAAAATAGCCTATATAAGGATTGTAGATCTTGATGAGCTGAACAAACTTGGTATTCAAAACTTTTCAATTTGAGACAATCTAGGGTTCCAAAAACTAGTTTGTAAGCATCAAAATTTAAAAATCACAAATTTGAACCGTTCAAACTATCTCAAATGGAAAGTTGACCAAAACAATAATTGTAGATCTTGATGAGTTGAACAAACTTGGTATTCAAAACTTTTCATTTTGAAGTCATTTAGAGTTCATAATACTAGAGTCAAAGTGTTGTTTTTTCATTTGACCAAATTTGACTTGGTCAAACTTGCTCAAATGAGACACTAAATGACCTCAGATGAAAAAACTCTGAATACCAAATTTGATCATCTCATCAATATCTACAATTGTTATATAGCTCATTTTCCTATTTAAGAAATTTTTATCAAACACTAGTCACAAATTCTTGAATCTCATGTAGACTTTCTAAAACTATGTCACACACTTGTGAAATTTGAACTACATTTTGTTCAAACTTTCTCAAATAAAAAAATGGCCTATATAAGGATTGTAGATCTTGAATCCATGACCATGACTCCATGAGACCCATGAAGCCATGAGCTTGGCTATTTCTACTCATGCCGCGAAGATTGGTGCTTGTATGATGTTTGATGTATGATGTATCTGTATCTTTATCTTATTTGTTGCTTTACTCTTTAGTCTTTCGGCTTAATCTAGATGGATTATGGACTCATAGAGTGGTGTAATGGTTTGCGCACATATGATATATATATATATATATATATATATATATATATATATATATATATATATATATATATATGCTGCTTTTACTCAATATCCGAATAGATATTTGTATCCGATCTTCTCCGAATCCGATTCATACCGTATTCGATACTCATTATTCGTATCCGTAACCGAGTCAATCCGTATTCGTATATGTATCCGAATGCTATCCGTGTCCGAATCCGAACAGAAATATGAAAACAAATATAATATGAGTGATATCCGTTCGTATCCGATCCGTTTTCATCCCTAGTAACCATTAACGTAATGGTGCTTACAGCTGAATGCTGTTAAATAAAGCTTGTTTGTTGTAAAAAAACAACAATCGCGGAAAAATACTCAGAGCTCGCCATAAACGGCGTCTCGGTGAGGTCTTGTATCCTGGTTTTTCGAATGTACTTGATAGCTTTTATTATCCTTCCGTTTCATTAGAATGTGCTACCTGAGCTGGGCCGAAGGAAAAGCCCATAAAGGGAAGGAACAAGCTGCTGTAGATCGCTGTCGTTTCTGTCCTCTCGTCGTCTTATCCAGATTCCGGAGCCGAGCGCAGGGAAGACAGTGGGCATGGCATGCGGACCATGAATATCCCAAATCCCAACAGAGCAGAGCAAACCGAAGCAATGGAATGAAGCAACAAGGCGGGTGTTGAGTCGAGTCGATCGCTGATGCGCTGTTGACTGGGTGCTGGCGACCGAAGCATGGCTGGAGCCAGTGCGGCCTGCTCCATGGCCGCCGGAGCTTGCTGCGCCTGCCCATCGTCTTCCTCCTCACTTTTCCCCAACCACCGTCCTAGTCCTCGGCGCCACGCCCGCATCATGTGCAGCAGCAGCAGCAGCATGCACGGGTACGGCTACGACAGCAGCTCCCTTCCGTCCTTGTCCCTGCCATTCCCAATCCCAGCGCCGCGCGGCGTCACCAGCACCAGCAGCGGCAGCCGTCTGCGCATCTTCTCCGGCAGCGCCAACCCGGTGCTGGCGCAGGAGATCGCGTGCTACCTTGGGATGGAGCTGGGCAAGATCAAGATCAAGCGGTTCGCGGACGGCGAGATCTACGTGCAGCTGCAGGAGAGCGTGCGCGGCTGCGACGTGTTCCTGGTGCAGCCCACCTGCCCTCCAGCCAACGAGAACCTCATGGAGCTCCTCATCATGATCGACGCCTGCCGGAGGGCCTCCGCCAAGAACATCACCGCCGTCATCCCCTACTTCGGCTACGCCAGGGCCGACAGGAAGATGCAGGGCCGCGAGTCCATCGCCGCCAAGCTGGTGGCCAACCTCATCACGGAGGCCGGCGCCCACCGCGTGCTGGCCTGCGACCTCCACTCGGGCCAGTCCATCGGCTACTTCGACATCCCCGTGGACCACGTCTACGGCCAGCCCGTCATCCTCGACTACCTGGCCAGCAAGACCATCTGCCCCAACGACGTCGTGGTGGTGTCGCCGGACGTGGGAGGGGTGGCCAGGGCGCGCGCCTTCGCCAAGAAGCTCTCCGACGCGCCGCTGGCCATCGTCGACAAGAGGCGGCAGGGACACAACCAGGCCGAGGTGGTGAACCTCATCGGTGATGTCAGGGGAAAGGTTGCCGTCATGGTGGACGACATGATCGACACGGCCGGGACCATCTCCAAGGGCGCCGAGCTGCTGCACAAGGAGGGAGCGCGAGCTGTGTACGCCTGCAGCACCCACGCGGTCTTCAGCCCACCCGCGCTGCAGAGGCTCTCCAGCGGCCTCTTCCAGGAGGTGATCATCACCAACACCGTGCCGGTGCAGCACCTGCACAGCTTCCCGCAGCTCACCGTCCTCTCCGTCGCCAACCTCCTCGGCGAGACCATCTGGCGTGTTCACGACGATTGCTCCCTCAGCAGCATCTTCAAGTGACCTCATATCATGCATGCATGTTCATCAGTTGACACTGCCCCAGATAAGATACGTTGTCCTCCCATTTTGAAGCTCCAGTATATATAGGGGTATTATAATACATAATACATAATACATATATATGATTCACATCCATATATATGTTTCAACGAATGAAGCTCCTGCATACAAAATGATGGGTATCTTCAATTCGAATCCCAAGTTAAATGACATATCAACCTCATGACTAGGACTATTTGTCCGTTCTAGTTGCAACAACACAATTTGCCAAAAGACAAACATCGGATTCCTAACAGCAGGCTAGCACACACTGTGACGGCGATCCGCGGTCCCTGTTACTCCTATCATATATACAATATCAGTACCTCCTGCCTTCGCATAGACTAGTTTGAGAAACACTTCTATCTCACTCAAGAGACCAGAGGCATATAGATAGATAACCTAATCACTGCACGTGAGCTTCGCCTTACTTCTTTCTTCGCGTGTTAAATCACATGAGCCCTGCTCCCTCACCTCACCCAAGCAAGCACCCATTTCTTCCGCAAATTTTATCGCACCTCCACCAGTCCTTGACTTGACCCTTGCACCTTGCACCTTTTTAATCTTTGCACTAAGTGAGCCACTTGCTGCAAAAGCAGAGACAAAAAAAAATATATATAGTCAGAAATCAAACCATGGAACAGGTACTTGCCCTTATGTTCACAGATTCACCCAAAAAGACAGCACCAGGTTGTACGGCCAACACTTTTTTTGAATCCAAGAAAAAACAGCCGGAACTGCATTGGTACCTTGCCACTCGTAAACAACCTTTGACTCCCCCTTAATCACCTTTGGATATTGATCTATTCGAGAATCTTCTAGTATCAGTTCTTCGACCTATGTCAAAACAGAAATGAGAAAAAAGAACACATCAATTTTTGTTTCCTATAGATGATACCTTCTGATGTAGTTTGGAGGCTCATTAATGTACGTATATTATTCTTTATAAATATGACAACGAATAACAAATATGTGCATGCTAGAAGTGTGTCCCAAACAGCATTCTTCACTGGCATGGACAGATAAATTGGGTATGCTGAATAAAGTGGCAGCAAAGAGCAGTCATTGGTTTTAAACTACTATAATAATCAGCATAAGACTCAAAACATAACTTCATACTACTATCCAAGATACGAGGATTCATGAATTATCTCTGCATATGAAAGTATAAGCACTGTTTTAGTAAATGTCACAAGTAATTACATTTGATAGCATAATTTATTATCTTAAGTATGGCAATACTCCAGAGATTACTTGGCTCACAGGCAGCACTGCCATCAGTGGTGGATCCAGAATAAAAATTCACCTATGGCGGAATCTATATTACTAATTTGCGTAACAAAGCATGGGACAACAATAATGTGATTTATAAATATATGTATAGCCATTTATTAAGGTATATGTCAAATGATGTTCTTAGTACATTAAAGACGGAATTTTCAATCACAAACAAAACTAACTGGTGAATGTGGCACGGTGCCATTGGTGCAGTGTGAAGAAACCATGGTCAATTGGTGAGCGTGGGGCCTACCAAGCGAATTGGTAAAATGGCAACTAATAAAGTAATAATTATTCACCATCTGTGGGCTGTCAATTTCATGTGTAGGAAAGTTGTGTAAGCCTAGCTAGCTAGTCCACTCGCCAGAAGTTCAAGGCGTTGGTTCCAATCATCGCTTTTCAGCCTATCTCCTTGATAAGTTGTCATTTGCCTTGAGTAGGACTCGTCATGCACTGATGCACCGACGATGGCATGAAGCATGGCAATCTGCAGGGGAGGAGGTGGTGTTTTCACAGTGAGGTATGGCGGTCGCCAGAGCACGCCAGATTGCTGGATCCGCCCCTGACTGCCATGTACCTAAAATCGTGGTGAAATACATTGCAAAATACGGTAACTCCATGCTTTTTTGTTCTTACTTTTGACCTCTTATTCAAAATAATTCAGATGACACTAACGAAGAAAAGCTACTAATTATTTGGTGAAACACATTGCAAAATAAATACCTTCTTCCACAAGAAAGCATTCTTTCTCTCTCGAGGAACCAGCAGGTGATCCCTGAGCCAAGAGGTAACCACCCAAGGCTCACAATTGGAGTTGTCAATCTTGGCGTTTATGGCATTATCTTCAAGGATTTCACATACCTACTGAATGACAACAGACAAAGGCACAAATACCAGAAGGTCCAGAAGGAGTTATTGCAAAATAAAAACTCAACACCAAATAATGCAAACAACACACTGAATGAACTCTATGATGCACAGAAAGTGTCACCCTTCTCAACCTCCCTCACACTTGAGAAGCAAAGGAGGTGGGAATGTTTGGTAAATCACATAAAAATAAATGTCGGTACACCTCAAAGCCTAGAAAATTTAACCACACAACAATACTAATAGTTTTAGCTTACAATATAGAAAAGGTAATTCACTGATCCAAGTACACTCAAATTGCCTCAGTAGTTGGATGCTTAAGCATGAGATGTATAGCTAAACATATTTGACATACCAACAGCACCCCGATTGCATCAGCGTAACGAAAATATAAGCCACAATTAGCATTTCATTGAACCTAAACAAAGGATGGTAAAATAAAACATCATACCTGCTCATATATTTGTTCAGCTCTATTAGATAATGCCCGCCTCCTGTAAATGATCCACGGTATCCAGAGCAGTGCTGCAAACTTGGGTTCCATCATCACTTGTGCTGCCTATAAACAAGCAGCATGCCCAAGATAGCAATGGTAGAAGCATACCAGGATACAAAAGGTTGCCACAGAGATGGTATTTCTAGAGATCCATTGGCGAACTCGACAAGCCAGAGGCATATGAAGCTCCACGACCAGCTCAGGGCATTTAAATACTTTGACTCTAAATGGAAATATTTAGAGGGTTACCATTAGCATCCATCATGCTATCTAGCATGTATTGTCAGTGGGGAGGTGAGAGTTGCGAGATAGCATACTTGTTGGAAGTAAATGTTGTGTCGAAGAAGCCCCGAGAACTCTCCAGCACCCTAGTTTTCACAAGTTGAATTCCATCCTCAGTTAGGCCAGCAGGAATCTTTGACAAGAGTTCATCAATAGCATTTGAGACATCATGCTCCTGAAACTGGAATTGAAATATATACCGCCTTAGCAAATACTAGAAGAGATCTGGACAGGAAAGCCATGAGGTGAGGTGGAACAGGAGATGAAAACGGACCAGGATTTCGGCAGGTTGGCCACATAAAGCACGAGCATGCTGATTGCAGATCCTTAGCTGTAGCAGCTCTGACTTAATTTGTAGAGGAGAAGGAACGGGTACAGTACAGCGTTAGTAGATGCGCATGCGACTTATACAATGAAGAGAGAGAGAGAGAGAGAGATAGTGAGACAAGGAAAGTGCATTACAATCTTGTTAGCTGTTTGGCTAAGCAGTCCATCCTCTATGCATGCTTTGCCTTGCCTCTTGAACCCCTGGACGCACTCCAGCTCACCGTGCACACATCGCCCGTTCAGAGGGCAAGGTTGACACGAATCTGCGCATGCCTTGCCTTAGCTTTGCTTTGCTATACTATAATAGCGAGCAAGGAGAGCATGGAGAGGAGTGAAGGAAGCTGTAGAAGGAGATGGCCGTACCGTCGGCGTAGTCATCGGGCGATTGGGGGGAGTCGCAGAAGGGCTCAGGGCGGCGGTTGAGGACGCTGCAGGCCGCGGCGGCTGCGGCGGCGATGGATATGACGGCGAGCAAGCGGACGAGGTCCTCCCTGGCGGGGAAGAGGCCGGGAGGGGGCTCGGCGGCGGTCGGGAGGGGGGTCCGGGCCGACCGCCGCGGCGAACGCGACGGCATCTTCAGGCTGTCTCTCTGGCGGTACGGGCTTGTTGGCTACGGGTGAGGTGAGAGGGGAGGACGGGAGGACGAGGTTCCTTCAATGTCAGGGCCAGCCCAGCAAAGCTCAGCCCATATAAGGAAGGACTTAGGAGGCCGGCCCGTTGCCGCCGCTTTGACTGTTTGTCGGCCCAGACCAGCCCAGCCCATTCAAAAAAAGAGAGGAAAATTAGAGTAGCACTCGCGGCCGAGCGTCCAAGTCGTGATCTTTTTCCTTTTTTGGGACACTTCTTCTCCACCGTGTCTGTGTCATGTTCCCTTCCATCTGCTCACAAGTAGGGGTCATAACCACAACAGGCACATGACAACCAGACACAACAAGGAGGAGATGGTGAGGAGCGCCGTGGCCCTCGCCGCCGCGTTTGCCCTGGCAGTGGCAACCACAGTGGTGGACGCAACGGTGGACGCCACCTGCAAGTCGGCGGCCGCCGGCGACAGCCGCGTCAACCTGCAGCTGTGCCTGTCGCAGCTCGGTCACCACCGCGAGAGCCCCGACGCCGATACCTGGGGCCTGGCCAAGGTGGCCTCCCTCGTCGGTGTCAACAGCGCCGACCTCGCAGCCGACGACATCAAGACCCTGGAGGTCAGCCATCCGTCGCCGGCGCTTGCCCAGTGCGCCAAGCTCTACGCCGGCGTCGGCCTCGCCTTCGCCAGCGCACAGGACGAGATCAACAAGCGGGCGTACGCCGCCGGTAAGCAGAGGCTCGCCGAGGCCATCTCTCTCACGAAGCAATGCGACGCCGCCTTCGCCAACGCCAAGGCCGCCGTCCCGCAGCCGTTGGCCCAGCGCAACGCTGATTCGGTGCAGATTGCCATCATAGCCACCGCCATCACCAACCTCATCAAGCAGTGACGATGGTGGATGAATATATATGGTTGATTGGTTTTCAAGTAAGAAAAATAAAGGGAGTTTCCGTTAGCTTTCTGTCTGTCTGTCTCTTGAGTCTTGACAGAAAACAAAGACCAATTTGCAAAATTCATCATTTCAAATCAACAAGAGGAATAAATCTTTGCCATTCTTCTTTGGTTTGTACAATATATACATACCAAATTCAAGGAGGGAACAGTACTAACTAATGTAATAAGGAAGCTCTCCATCTTGCTGCCTGCCGCGTAGTCTGCTACCCCGACGGACGGCAGCGCCATTGGATAATGGAAACGGCCGGAACAATGGCTGGCTGGCAGCAGCTGCCGGGGAGACGCGGGAGTAGGGCGGAATGGAAGAATGGATCAGGCCTTAGGGACCGTCCGGTACCAACGGGTTAACTTATTTAATGGCTATATAAAAACTTTTTAGGGCTTGTTTTGATGTTATTAAATTCACTGAACACATTTGAATTAATGCGAATCCGATTAGATCCGAGAACAAGGCTTTATTGGAATTGGCCTTGTAATAAAACCCAGTAGCCAATAACTAATAATTAGTTCTTAGGCTATTCCCCGTGCTAGATTTTATTGTATTGTTTTCAAGAATGACTTATATCATATTTTATTTAGAGGGTCAAAATAAAATACACAAGAACAAAACATACTAGTGATATGCTCTATGCCCTCAGGTCACTTGGGTACGTTACCGGCCTGTTAGGGCGTTCCCGACAACCAGCTATGTAGCTAGCTGACTGTGCATCCATCCAACGTGGGAGGTGAAAAAAAAAAAGACAGAGGACTCGCTAGCTCCGAACAAATCGGCAAGCGATTTCATGTAGCTCAATAAACTGTAAGGAGAACAGATGGGCCAGAGACCTGCGGGTAGTAAAGAGACTAAAATATTTGTGCGTTTATTCTCTCACTCATCCGGCTACGTCTCTAATGTCACCGTAGACGCCCCTAGAGGAAGGCCAATAATACATCTGGTTGCAGGTAGTAAGAATCTTTGTTGCCTATCTTTCAGCCTACTTATACAGTAGTTACTGTTGAGATCGAAAAGATCATTTAGGGTTAGGTCTAGCGGGTTCTCTATACTATGAATACGATATCGAGAGTAGATGGACATAGAGGAATAGAAGAAGAACGTGTCGAACCTGACACCGTAGAGGGAGATGATCTAGAATCCGCCATCTCGTTCGTCGGTGAAGCCTGCGCACGGACAGTGACGTTCGGGGAAGAGGCGACGTCGGTGGAGCGGGGCGGCGCAGCTGGTGGCTTCCCGTCACTAGCTGCGCTCCTCTCTGATCGGGATTAGGGTTTAGGTTTCGGTGGGGAGATCGGCTCAGGCGAACCTCGTCCTCAAAGCCGCCGACCCCCACCTTAATATATAGCGCAATGTGACAGGGGCCCTCCAGCCATAGTGGGCTGGGCGCCCCCGATCAGGGCGCGGATCAAAAGCCCAACTAGGCCGTTGGGCTCAGTTTAGAATTAGAGATCAATCTAACAATCTTCCCCTTGATCTCCTACCATCTTTCAATTTCATATCATTTACTTTTGTTCATTCCATTACAGATTAGCGCATAGAGCATGTTTCATCGTCACGGTCAATTGCCGATAGATTTAACAACTACAACACACCACTCTGTTCTGAAATAGATACTTAACTTTGGGCCTTCTTTTGTCTAGGAATTATAGGTTTTCCCTTAAACCCATGCCGGCTACATATTCTCTGAACACGTTGGGTGGTAAGCCTTTTGTAAGCAGATCCGTGAGCATCTTTTTGGTACTTATATACTCAAGACTTATGACATGATCCCGGACTTTATCTTTCACAACATAATACTTTATGTCAATGTGTTTGGCAGCACCACTTGACTTATAGTTGTGAGCATACTGTACTGCCGGATTATTATCGCAGTATAACTTAAGTGGTCTATAGATGTCGTCAACCACCTTCAAACCGGGTATGAACTTCTTTAGCCAGTTCACCTGCCCCGTTGCCTCATAACACGCTACAAACTCGGCATACATTGTGGACGATGTAGTGACGGTTTGCTTTGAGCTTTTTCATGAAATAGCTCCCCCTGCGAGAGTGAATACATATCCAGACGTGGATTTTTTATCATCTCCCGCGTAATCAGAATCTGAATATCCCACTATATGGAGTGAATCTGATATTCTATACGTCATCATGATGCTTTTCATTCCTTGCAAATAACGCAAGACTTTCTTTACTAATTTCCAGTGTTCCGTTCCAGGATTGCTCTGGAATCTGTCAAGTAATCCAGTAACAAATGCCAAGTCAGGGCGCGTACATACTTGAGCATATTGCAAGCTTCCGACAGCTGAAGCATATGAAACCGTTTTCATTTGATCGATCTCATACTGATTCCTGGGGCATTGAAAATCTCCATATCTGTCGCCCTTGACTATAGGAGCAGGTGAGGACTACATTTGTGCATATTAGATTTCTTTAAGATCTTTTCTATGTATGTCTTTTGTGACAGTCCTAATACTACTTTACTTCTATCTCGGTGAATCTCGATCTCTAGAACGAACGAAGCTTCACCAAGATCTTTCATATCAAATTTTGAGGACAAAAACTTCTCTGTCATTAGGAGTAGACTGACATCACTACTAGCAAGTAAGATATCATCCACATACAGGACAAGGAAGATAAACTTCCCATTCTTAAACTTTGCATAGAAACAATTGTCCTCTACATTCTCTTTAAACCCAAAATTCCTTATTGTCTGATCAAACTTTATGTACCACTGTCTTAAAGCTTGTTTTAATCCATAAATAAATTTCTTTAGACGACATCCTATTCGTTCTTTTCCTTCCATGACAAAACCTTTCAATTGTGCCATGTAAACATTTTCCTCCAAGTCTCCGTTGAGAAATACCGTCTTTACATTTATCTGATGTAATTCTAAATCGTAACGTGCCACTAATGCCATTATGATTCTGAAGGAATCCTTACATGAGACTAGAGAAAATGTCTCATTGTAATCAATGCCTTCTCTTTGCGTAACGTTTTTTGCCACAAGTCGCGCTTTATATCTCTCTATATTCCCTTAAGAGTTAAGTTTTGTTTTGTAAACCCATTTACAGCCTACTGTTTTGGCTTATTTAGGAATTATTTTCAAATCTCAAACTTTATTGATATTCATAGATTTTGTTTCATCTTCCATGGCCTCAAGCCACTTTGATGAATGATCACTTCTCATGGCTTCTTCAAATGAGGTGGGATCATCCTCCATTTGAAATTCCTCAGTGTTGTATACTTCATAGTCAACAGGAATAGCTGATTTTCTAACTCTTTGAGACCTTCTAGGGGCCTCTACATTTGGCACATCTTCTGTTTGAGGCTGTTGTTGCTCTCCCTCATGTGTGGCAATAGGTTCTACAGGATCCTGAAGAATAGGTTCCTCATCGACATTTATTGTTGCCACAGACGGAATAACAACAGGTGCTGGCACCACAGTATCTTGCACTATCGGTGCAGCGACAGCAGGTAGTGAAAAAATGGCTCATGAATCATCGGAGTGGGTGCATACACCCGCTTCTCTTCAAGGTCAATTTCTCGAGCTACCATGCTCCCCCTCATCATTTCATCCTCTAGAAAGACAGCGTGTCTCGTTTCCACAAACTTTGTATGTATGTCTGAACAGTAGAAAACAAAAACTTTTGACTTTTCTAGGTAGCCAATGAAATGGCAACTTTCTGTTTTGGGATCTAGCTTCCCAATGTTTGGGGTAAATACTTTAGCCTCAGTAGGACTCCCCCACACATGTAAGTGGTTTAGTGAGGGTACTCTTTCTGTCCACAACTCATATGGTGTTTTGGGTATCGACTTACTTGGTACTCTATTGAGAATATGAATGGCGGGTTTTAACGCCTCCATCCATAGGCTCAACGGTAAGGTGGAGTAACTTATCATACTGCGCACCATATCCATCAGGGTACGATTGCGTCTTTCAGCTACTCCATTCTGCTGAGGTTCGCCCGGTGTAGAATACTGGGCTACTATGCCATTCTCCTGTAACTCTGTAAGAACCTTGCAAAAGGTCCAGGAACTTGGCCATATGGGGTATGCCGACCATAGTACTCCCCCCCACGGTCGGACTTGACTATCTTAAATCTTTAAATTGTGTTGGTTTTCAACTTCTGCCTTAAATATCTTAAATTTATCTAATGCTTCTGTTCTTTTTTTGATTGGATAAATGTAGCCATAACGGGAGTAATCATCTGTGAATGTTATGAACAAATCATAACCATCCACACTCTTTACAGGAAATGGACCACAAATGTCTATGTGAATAATCTATAAAATTCCTACGCTTCGTTTGGCATCTTTCTTAATTTTCTTTACATACTTTCCTTTTATACATTCTCTGCATTGTTCTAAATCTGAGAACTCTAATGGAGGAAGAATATTATTCTTAACTAGTCTTTATATTCTCCCCCTCGAAATATGGCCTAAACGACAGTGCCATAATTTCGACGACGCGTCGTGAGCTCTCTTTCGTTTCCTGTTTACATCCGTAGATGAGGATACATTCTCATTGTCGCATGCAACGTTCCCATCATCGCATACAACATTCACATCATCATGTAGTGATAACAAATAAAGCTAATTTTGTAAGATAGCAAGACCAACACATGCATTATTAAATGTTATCTTACATTTGTCATTTTCAAAATGGCAATCATATCCATCATTGTCCAAGCATGAAACACTAATCAAGTTTCTCTATAAAGAGAGAACATAAAGTACATCTCTAAGTAAAAGTGTGAAGCCATCAGCAAGCTCTAGAGAAAGATCGCCAACTGCTTCAACATTTGCTCGGACTCCACTTGCAACTTTAACGTGTCTTTCTCTTCTTTGCGTAGTCCTCGTCGAACAAAATCCCTGTAAGGAATTAGCAACATGAACAGTTGCACCTGAGTCAATCCACCAAGTAGATTTTGAATACTGTACAT